AATTATTAATTGTGATCGGTGTGATGCTAACAAACACACACACACACACACACACACACACAGAGAGAGAGAGAGCCGGTTAGCCGGTGTTGCTGCGTTGATATAACTGTTATCTGATTCTTTATATTGTTTTATTTTTATTTTAATTGTTTCTGTGATCATGATTTGTCTTTTTGCTGCAGACTGGAGCAGCTTCAGCTAGCAGAGGGAGGGGTTTGTGTGAGGGGAGGCAAAAAAATAAATCCAGGAAATGCCGAAACAGACAGTAGATACTCAACAAACAGGGAGGGAAATGTAATTTAATTTAATTAAATCTGAGCTTTACGGTTTATTCTGCTTTTTTTTTTTTTATTTTAATCAGGCGTTAACATTAACTAGCTCTCTCGTTGTCTGCTGTGGTGTTGTGACACATTTTGTTTCCTCACCGTCTAAAAACAAGTTAATATTAAACGTGTTGACTGTGTGGGGGGAAAAAACAACCTCCGAGCTGTCACAAAAGCCTCTTTTATTTCACATTTAGTGGATGTTTGAGTTGTAATGCGACGGGTTGTTTGTTAGGGAGGGGGCACTAACTTGCTGGGGTTACCAAATTCCTCACTACACCCACCGGTTCTGATAGCCAGCTAGCTTTTTTAGCCCCTGATTGAAACCCCAGTGATCGCATTAACTGTTAGGAAGCTCACCGCCTTTGCTTTGGCCTACTTCTGCCTCTGCGACAGAGAAATGTTGTTTTTATGATCCAATGCTGATGTATAAAACATAAAATAGAGAGAAAAAGGAGCTAGTTGGACGCTCCCTCCTTTATGTCTGGATGTCTGAAACAGGCCCTAACCTACTTCACTGCCCCTGCATGCTGATGGTGCTTTATGCAGAACATTTTCTGCCATATGTCCACCAGAGTATGCTTTATGAATATATGTTTGCAGGGTTTTACATGCTGGAGGAAGACCAGCGAAAGCTATAATGAATAAGAAGTAGTAAATATGCTCCTGGGTGCATCTTTTCATAGATCCTCTTATCTAAGGGTGTTGTGTTTGGTGTATTTGCTTTCTATGAATTCAAACACCTTTTTGTCTAGTTTTTTTTTGTTTGAAGGCAAAAAGTAGCACACGCCCTTCTGCAAAACAAAGTACACAGATCTTTACTTCACACTTCTTCTTAGTAAAACAAACACTCATGTTGGCAGGTGACATTTAGTTTAAAGGGTAAGGCTGGTGATGTTCTCCAGTTTCGTAACTGTCAACAAATCCAATGAAAAGACCGAAACCAACAATCAGTTAGTCTGTTTCTCAATACTTCATGACTTCCCTACACTGTCTGTGGTTAAAAAAAAGTGTTAGAAACCGTCTGGAAATACTTAAACCAACCATATAACATCAAACTCTTACTGAAAGCCAGTCAGCAGGAGAGTGGAAACATCTTTTCTTTACTCTTCTTTAATGAAGAAATACTCTCCAGTTCTGCTATAACTGATGCTAGCAGCAGCTGCCATTGTTGTTTTGACAAACAAGTGTCTTCTCACACGCCCGTAGCTGCCAGCACTTCCTCAGTGGACGCTGATTGGTCCGATGCCACTGTAGTCAGGCCACACACTCGCAGATTGAAGCCTTTGCGTGATTTCGTGATCTTGAGAGTCCAGCTACCTCGCGAGGTTAGTAATTTTGAGCGACCATTGCTAAAACAGGACTAAATATTGGGACTATTCCCAGCTGTGGATTTAGTTCTTGCCAACAGTGTGTGTGTGTGTGTGTGTGTGTGAGTGTGACTCAAAACAAGCTGCTGTACCAACACGTAGACTCGGGTTCCTCCATCCCCGAAGTCGCCATTAGGCCCAAGTCTTGGCCGTCTTGCCTTTTATAGTGCTCAAATCTAAGGAAAATGTTATGAAAGGCATTATTCCCTGGACTGAGTCGTTGCTATATCTGCCCGCATGTCTCTGGAAAGTTGTTCCTACTTCCCTGACAAGTGTTGTTTTCCTTTATGGTCAGCACTTGGTTTGAACATATGCGGCCACTTTACTTTTAGTGCACTATAGGAAATGTTCTGCAGCATCTAAACTGACGTAACAGGAAATCCAGGAAGCTCAAAGTGCCCCACTGAGGGATCTGCAATTTAGCAGAACCGGAAGTTTGTTAGTGTAGTAATGAACATTACAGTTTGTCATCTACAGTACCTTTTTTTTAAGCAACTCTCACATGTAGGTGCTTGTGTTTTTTGCTGTGCATTACTCCCACATACACCTTTTTAGGGGCCACTCCCTTCCTGTATCACTGGTGAGTCATTTCTCAGCTGAGACCAGGAAGTGTAACGGGTTGAACTCTGGTATCTGCAGGTAAAAGGCTTCTGTGGCTGTGAACATTTAGGTCAAGGGTAGTAGTGGTGTGTGTGTGTGTGTGTGTGTGTGTCCTGCTACAATCTAATTTTATCGGAGAAGTTCATTTACAACTCTGTCTGAATGGGTGAGGCAGAAAAAAGGGGAAGTTGAGGCATTTTGAAATGTCACGTCTGCTGTAGGAACATCAGGAACTTCTCAAAATGTTGTCTGTTTTTTTTTAAATGTGAGAACGTGTCACCACCGCTGCTGAAGTAGCTCAAGTTAAGTGTTTTGAGTTGTAGTAATATAATGCTGCTGATACACTAACCTATTGATATGACTTCATTTAATAGCCTTAGGGCTGTAATAATGTATAACCGGCCTCACCCTGTTTTAAAAGGGGCCATTATTCTGCTTACAACATTGAAACGTTTCCAAATTTGAAGTCATTGCATCTCCTTAAGGTCTGAACTTTTTAAGATGTCGTCTGTCAGCTCGGGCCTGCATCGCTAGACATTGTTTGATACGAGATACTAAGCCATTTTTCACAACAGAAGACAAAGTTCTTGAATGTTAATCGCTGTCTAATCACATGCAGCTCTATAAGAACTTGCCCTAAATATAATGATCTAAAATCAAATCTGGAACTCAAATCAACATTAAGTAAACAAGATTATGACTCTGGCCAGACATTTTAGTACCAAAAAGCTGGCATTCAGAGGCTGGTATTGGTACATATTGATCAGTACCAAAAATGTAGAGAGGTAATGCTGATTGATTAATCTTCCAGTATAGATATGCACAATTTTTGGTACCAATATATTAACAATACTTTTTTTGATTGCCTATTTTGAGACAAACATGTTTTTCTTTCCCAGAAGAAATAAAGAAATGTTGTCTACACACAAGAACCTAATAAGATTGACATTTCCTCTATTAGATCAGCATCTATCTGATCACAGAGTAAGAAAACAAGATTATGATATTGACCAGACATTTTGGTACCAAAATTAACTTTTATGTGGCAAACCATCTACTCCATTCCCTCCATTATTAAAACACAGGAAAGCGAGTGAATGTCCAAATGTGCCTCTAACTTCATCTGTCACAGCCAAAAAATGTTAAGCGCCGTCTCAGTCATTAGATATGTAAAGATTTGGTTCCGTCCCTCCGTAGCGAAAGTGAGACGGCGGGTTTATCTTGCGTGGACCTCATTAGTGAGAGTGGTCTGTGAGTCTCCATTCACCGTCAGCCAGGTTTAAGTACCTGAGACTGGAAATACTCCGTCACACGGATGAAGGCAGCGTCAGGTTACAGCCGTCTTATGTAATGTTAGCCTTTCTCATTAGGTGTGTGTCTATCTGTAAGATTATGCTAGACTCGGATTGAACTTGGTTAATCTTGTACTTAAAAGGGTAAGTCAGGAGAATCAGTTTGCATCTTGGCACGCAGACTATAGAGACTATATTTAGGCTATAGCTGCTGCCTTTAAGTTTGAAACTGTTTTATTGTGAAACATACAAGCGACTGCAAACGACATAGTTGGGATTACAGGGCAGGTTTGCGTTCTGCAGAGAGCCTGCAGTAACTGGTAATGATCTACATAACTTTACTCAGCAAGTCCTGACCTGCTTACTAACAGACTCTTTCTTCCTTCTTTTTTGTCACTCAGTCAGTCTAAAGGTGGAATTGACTGCAGGGCCTAAAAGAGCTTCCTTAAAATGTGCAAATTAAAGTTGTTTTTTTTAGTCTATTTATACAAATTCTAGACGGTGATAACTTTCATTAGAAACTGGTGTGCACAAAATATCTGTGCGGGAGTATTCCAGTTTCCTTTGTATGCTGTATGATAACTGCAGGGATATAAAAGCAGAGAGAAAAGACGTATTTATGCTACACAAACTTTGTAAAGATCTTCTGTTCATATATGTCTTGTTTAGTCTTTAAGTTCTTCCGAGACGTCAGAAGTAGTCGTTTTTTAATGAGTTGCGAACAAAAAAATTTATTTGGAACGTCTGTAATAACAATCTGTGTCAATAAAGCAACAACAATTACTCGATTGACGGACAATGAATCTGTAACCTTTATAGATAATGCAATAATCTTTATAGTAATTTTTTGAAATGCAAAAAACAAACGTCACATGTTTCGTGCTCCTTATTTTTTAATGAGCATTTGAGGCTTTTCTTTGTCAATCCTGATAGTAAACAGCATATCTTTTGGAATTGACATGTTCCGGTATGTCTAATGGGTCTAACAGCCTTTGCCATGTTCCTCTCAAAAATGTTAACGCTGATGTTGACTGCAGGCTCAAAGTACCACCGAGCCTCGTAGGACTAAATCAACCAAGAAAAGCCCAGGATTCAGAGCACTGCTGTTTGTTAATTGCAGTAATTGCCATCACCTTGGGTCTCAGGAGTAATTCAGTCCCCAATTAGAAGACTACTAGAACAGGAAGTAGCACTGTGCCTCGACGATTAAGAGCAACTCACCTCAGGGGCAAATGTTCTAAAATTGAAGAAAAAAAAAAAAAGACTTGTGCCCGGAGGGGATTTAAATCTTGTTTAGACAGCTAAAATATAGTGTTTACCCCTTAAAGGTACTGAATGGTTTTCTCCCTCTCGCAGATATGGCTGAGTTGGCGAGTTTGGTGCAGCGGCTGGAGGTGGCGGTGGGTCGCCTGGAGTCCATGTCAGGCGCTGGTGGTGCTGGAGATTCAACTGGTGGAGGTAATGAGCAGTTATCATTACTATGGGATAATTCCACTTAATAAGATGTCTGGTGATTGTCTCTCTTACCTACAGATTTCTTATACAACTGTTGCTTAAAGCAGAAACTATGAACCTTTATTACGTGGTGATTCTCGGGACCCCTGCAGACAAAAGTGGTAGTGTTTGTATTGCCTCATTTAATGGATTTCAGGGGAATCGGACCCATTAGTTATTAAGAATTACGACAAAGAAATAGCTGGTCTTCTCGCTGATGGTTTCATAACCAGTTAAAAAC